GACGTGAGCTTGTCTGTCAAGGGAAGAGTCTACACTGCGGTGGTGAGATCCATACTGCTTTATGGATCAGAGACTTGACCCCTACGCGTAGAAGACATACGGAAGACGTCAGTGCTTGATCATCGATGTCTCCGCAGCATTCGTCAGGTCTGGTGGGAACATCGGATTAGTAATGATGAGGTGCACCAGATGGTCCGAGGAGGAAGGAACTCTCCCGCGACAGATGAATTACTCACGATTCACAAGTTGCGCTGGTTGGGTTATGTACTCCGCATACCAGAAGACGGTTTGCCTCACAGAGCTCTTTTTCCAAGCCCTGTGCTAAGTGGAAGCGACCGAGAGGTGGACAGTGTATGACCTGGCAACGAAGTACAAAAATACTAACCAGTAAATTTGGTCGGGTGGGGAACTGCCACCTCTCTAGTCGGGGACCCCAGGACTCAAATCACCAGTGATTATTGGCATTGGCGGAAATGGCCCAATCGCGCAGTCAGTGGCGCCCGCGCATCAAAGCTATCACCTTCACTTCCGAACAAACTGAACACGCCCTCGCCTCCAAGGCTTGGTTGTATGTTCCACCTTCCCGCTTTCCAATGATCGAAACTGTAGCAGCTGTAACCCATGTGCCTATGACACGGTTTATAGCTGGCGAATTGAATTGAATCATCCTCATCAGTCAATAAGAGATGCTGGAAACGCCCCCAAGCTGTGCCACTTGATAAGTTCTACTGGTTCTTGGGATCATCACATCATCATCATCATCATCATCATCATTAACAGCCATGAGAACCGCCTACTTGTCGCACACTGGCTATAGCTATCACAGTTTCGATCACCGATTGTTTGAAGAGGTAGGGTAGGTGGTAGCTGCGCAGTTAAGGCGGGAAATGATGGGATTGATGCGTAAATACAGCATCATCCGGAAACTTTTAAATGAAGAGGTTGGGAAGGGGGATATGCACGATCCACGAGTGCCAATGAGCCATTTTCACAATGTCTCCGAGCACTAGTGTCCCGACTAGGGGTCCCCATACACGGACAAAGCAATCATAAGCGTTCCTGAGTTCTCTGAGAATTGCTTTCATACTTCAGTGCCAAGTCATTGTTTGACCTCATCTGGTTCGTTTCCGCCCTTCACGTGGTTGTGCGGAAAGGACTCTACGAAGAATTCGGCCTACTGGCACACGGAGCACGTAACCAGGCCAGCGCAACCTATGCAGTGTTATCAGTTAATCTGTCGTGGGTGAGTTATTTCTTCCGGATACCATGCGAAGTATCTCAGCATTGCTAACCCGGTGTTCCCGCCAGACGTTTCGCCTGCAAGATCACAATGTCAGTGCTTTTTGCATGACGAATGATCCTTGATAGCTCTCGATAGAACTGCAGTCCGTTGGGACAGGTCGACACTACAAAGAGGCACCGTTTTTTATGCCGACAGGCAGTGGGTTTGATTGAAATGGATAACCGGACGGCACGAAGACGAGTGTTCACTGGGATTCAATCAAGCAAAGCGCGTTCAGCTCTGGGGCTGAACTCTCACGCCATGTATTCCACGACTCATCGCTTCTAGGTCACCGGACACATAGGGCGAGAGTAATGTGGAGGAGCTGAGTTCATCCTTGGCGTTCTGAGATGCATAACCATGCTCAAGTCTTGTATGCGTATTGCGGAGACAACAAACATCAATTTTAAGGGAGTATAACGTCTCGACAAGCATTGCCTGTTTGCCGCCTCGACATAGAATACGGACGTTAAAATCTCCTGTGTAGAAAGGATCTCGTGGATTTGGAAGAGTATTTTGTGTATTGTTAGTATGCAACGAGGAGCATAAGGCCCTTCGGTCGGATAACTGACAGTCAAATGGCCCAGCGACGTTTGCTTGTGTGATGGGAAGGGGTTGGGGAGGGATATCGGTGGACACCGAACTGCGAGGGTGAATGATATTTCCTGGTTGCCCAGGCCGAGGGAGGGGGTCTGGATGAGGTCCCCACCTTGAGCATTTGACTCAAAAGTCTGACCCATGAGGTAGCGGACAGTAGGGTTTTCTTTGGGGACCCTGCCTGCAGCCGATGAGCCGACAGCCTGACCTGCTCAGCCGCAGAGGGTTGGCCTAACCCGACACCACAGGGAATAAGGCACTACTGTCTCATTCCTGAGGCGGCTGCACACAACAGGTGCCTTTTGAGCAATACCGAGCTCTTTGGTTTTAAAAGTATTTCGACCGTATTGGATAATACGCCGGCGGTCACGGCCAACCACTGGGCGATTGGGGTGTGCGGGTTCCACGGCGCCTAGTTGGAGACACCACAAAACATGGCTGTCAACCGATGTCAGTGGCGTTCTTGCTGTTAGTTTCTATCCAGATTACCTGAGTGAATGTCTGATATGTTTGTTGTAAGCTAGCTCTACGTCCCTTCCCTGTCCACCTTTATTCTGTTCTTTACAATAAGGCTTTCAAACAAATCATGGTTGTACGGCAGTGAAGCATCGGTGTTGAACGTTGATGTTATGCTGTCGATGATGATGTGTGCGGGTTTCGGGGCCGACCTTTTCCTGAGGGAAGGCAGCATGGCTGCTTCCATTAATATGGATATGTTGGTCGCCTGGAGGAACACCCTACTGCCTTTACACCCCTGTCGCAGAGGACAGTACGACCGCCTCGTAGCACGATTACTCGGAGTACAGGGTCTTGCTGCTCCCCTTTGGATTTCCTGGCATGGTTGCATCTTGTGGAACGAAGTTCAAGCCAGTGTAGCCCGCGAAATAATGGCGGCATCCAAGCCCGTCAAGGTGGTGACTTTAGGTCGGTAACAGTTCAGACACGGCGTAATGCTGGAAAAATCCCTCAGCCATAAGGCTATTTCGGTGTCCAACCGCCATATCACCTGAAGGAAGCGCGAGGACTGATATACTACCAGGTTGCCCAAGTATAGACAGAGCACTCGAATCGTCTGGGTTGGGTTCGAATCACTGACCTTCCGTTCAGTAATTTTGCGCCTTAACAACTGAGCTCGAGAACACTAGTCATGAGATTGGGTGACTGATTGACCCCAGTGGACTAATTGGAGAGTTAGGAGGGGGTCGGGTAATGACCAGTGAACGAAGACCTGCAAAGGCTGATGAAACTCCTCAGTTGCTCATGCCGACGGTTTGGTTGGGGCATGCCACTTTACGCCACAAGGTAATGGGAAATATAGTCTTCTTTATGTACCCCAACCGTAGCGTTTAACCCGAAAATCTGAGCCACAAGGCAGTGGGCGATAGGGTATAGTTAGGGAAGCCCTACTCGTAGCCAGTGACTGTCCCACTTGGAAGATTGGCAAAGCCCGCGGGAGCATGGAATAAGGCATAGATGTCTCATTGCTAGTGTTAATGCATGCAGAAGATACGTCTGGAGTGTCGACCTCGCTGTGTAATTTACCAGTCGATACCACCAAACGCTGTACGCTCGGAGCATACGGAGCGCACCGACCAATTCTAGTTGTTCCCATTGATGTGAACAGGCTAACTGTCTGGAGGAAATATATTACTGCCTCTACACTACTATCGAATAGAGCAATACGACTTTATATTAAGACCAAATTGGAAAGTTGAAAACGTGGGTCTCTTACCTTCAGGTTTGTTATTTTCGAAACCTCCGTCCTGAGATTTCATTCCGTACCTAATTCGCCAAAGTGGTGATGCCGTTTATACTTACTAACTGGAACTTCAACTGTTCTTAAGATTTGACAAATGGGGCTCAACAGAATTATGCACATTTGGATCCCCGAGTGCATATATCAGAGCATGACCATCCAGGGCTCAATCTGGGTTTTATTCTAACGACGAAAGCTCTTCAATTATCTGTGCCAGGGCGGAGGTGCGTCTTTGAACGGCCTGCATCACTTGGCCAACATTCCCATGGTAAGATTCCTTTCATGCACTCGCATTTTTACCGGGAAACCCTTCCGAATTTTGGCCACCACCAGCTCCTATCAGGGTTGGCATAGACTAGGATTTTGAAGATCCGTGTTTAGACATTAAATCATGTGTTCGCGATTTTTTGACAGCTAGGCTGTTTTATCATTCGGGAGAGGTAGTACTAGACCATTCAAAATGAGGAGCACTCTGCCGTAAACCTTTTAACATCAGTCCTCCGCCCTCTACGGCAGCAAATTATCAGTGTTGAACACCGATGTCATGCTGTCGGCGAGAAAGACTTCTGTACTGAGAAGCTTATACTAGAATGGTAAATTTCAATGAGTAAATCGATATTATCCCAGAGACAAGGCTAGAGCATTCGTTGTGATACCAAAAACCGCGAGTGATACAATCAAACCCACAGGATGAGTACCCACAAGGTTACAGCTTATGCACCCTCCGCTTATGGGCACAGAGGTTCGTAACGAATAGCGCCTGATATACACAGTCAGCAAACATATCTATGGCGAATAACTCAACAGTATACAAACTGCTACTGCCCCAGGAAAAATACGAAGCAGGATGCTCTGGGTTTATCGTGGGGTACGACAGCAGCTTAACCAAAATCCCGGTCAGTCGTCACAGTCAAGACCTTCGGCTGCAGGTCATTGTTTCGATACATAAACTAAATTTACCAACTTGTGCTTGTGTGTTGACGCCGTACTCTAGTCTCTAATTAACAATATTAGAATAAGTGACGAAGATTCTTCACGGGTTTTCTGCAGATCCAGTAACGCTATATTCACACAGGGTTCCTCTGCTTTTTGGAATGAGTGTAGGCTCATAGCACAAGCAAGGACATTAGAATGAAAACACCTGCGACCAACTCTTGCACAGATGGAATTAGGTACTCAAATGAGGCTCAATAATTAAAAGTAGAGGCGAACTGGGGAACCTAATTTGAACCACACTCCATGAGCCCTAAAATCCTTCCTTTTCACTCGCTACGTATTTACAAAAAAGATGTTTACGCACCGATTTAGTAGCCCTGTGAGACCAATAAGAATGCTAAATAGTACCGTAAAACTAACACAACTTACGCTAAGGGGAGACGCCCCGCCGAAGAAATCACCATCAATGTCCATTTGCTCACCCATTCCCGAAGTGAAGACGGTTCTGCCGCCTGAGCCCATACCGAACAAAGACCCCAAGGAATCATCGGATCCAAAGAACACCCGGAACATTTCCCTTGGGTCCCCATGGAAGGTATAGGTGAAACCAGGTCCACCACCTTCCCCACCTGAAACGCCTGTTTTAAGACCCTCCTCACCGTACTTGTCGTAAATTTCGCGCTTCTTCGGATCCGATAGGACCTGTGCTAAAGTAGTGGTTATTGTCCACTGTCTGACTTACGTCATAAGCCTCGGCTATTTCTTTGAATTTCTCTTCTGCATTGGGTGATTTATTCTTATCCGGGTGATATTTTAAAGCCATTTTCTTATACGCCTTTTTAATGGCGTCGTCAGTTGCATCTTTTGTAATTCCCAAAATCTGGTAATAGTCCTTCCCCATTGACCCGAACGTCCGCTGTCAGCTTTCGCCGAATCCTCTAGATGAACGGACCCAGCCAATAGTGGACGAGAATTGGTTTATTTGATTCGATAGGTTCAGCGCACTCGGTTGGTAAGTTCAATAGATTTTGTCTCGTGGTCTGGGTTCGGTAGGTTGTTTACTCTGGCTAGTGAAACTGACAAGAATCGAAAAGGGGCTTGTGAAGTAAGCCCTAAAGTTTAAGTTTCTTCCAGTGAAAAACACTGGAGAACAAATCGTCTCCCCCGTGGCAACTGAGCTGAAAGAGTCTGATATTTGGTAGTAGACTGGAGGTCAGAGTTGTAGGTTAATATATAACGCTTTCCATGTGTGTCAGGGTAGTTGCGTATTTAGTATTATATGATGAACCCTCGGAGCCTGTGGTGCATCACTTCTCACATACGCACACGCACTTCACCATGCTGCATCGTTTCCCGTAAAGATGTGACAGGTTTAAACAGCATCGGCGTTGCCATTAAGGCACACCATCCATCCGGCTTCTCCTTATTCCACCACACTGAGAACTGTAAATATCCAGTACTACCCCCTTGACTTGGGTGCATTGGATGTTGCATGCTGCATGTCTGTATTAGGTGATTGCACTGTTTCATCAGCCTAGCTTTCCATCAACATCTGATAGTTGAATCTTATTGATGCAAAAGCCGACAGTACGTCTGCTGGACGGTTCGACACCCTGCGGATTTGATATAGCATATATGGGGACAACACACTGAATGCGCGGTACGTTCGAAATCGGTTTCGTTAGCCGACAGTCGTCTGCTGGACGGTTCGACACCCTGCGGATTTGATATAGCATATATGGGGACAACACACTGAATGCGCGGTACGTTCGAAATCGGTTTCGTTTCTCCCTCGTGCAAATTCGTGAAAGAATTTTTTCGTTGTTCAATCTATTCACAGAGTACACACGAGTAATTGTTGCATTTTATCACTCTAACAAAACATTTGAGAGATAACCTTTGATATTTCGCGCACACCTATTTTACACCTGGTCCGAAACATGACATCAATTTATACCGATTGCCCTCTGCAGCCATTGATAGACCACAGATGTGGGCGAAATGGCTGCCCGTCGAACGTCAAACGCGGTATGCAATGCCACACCTGCAAGGCCTGATGGCATTTCAAATGCACGAATTTACAGGACGACCAGACGAGCCGACTAGCTAACTCTCCTGACCCGTTTTTCTGCGCCAGCTGCCTCTACGTCAAGGGTGTGATGCATACCGCAGCGAAGAGGAGAGTCCCCAAAACGGTACCTAATCCCCAGTGCAGATTCAAAAAGACCAATGCCAGTGTTCCGCTTTAATCTGGATACTCGACGCGAAATTAGAGCGTCTTTCAAAGGCACGGGAGGACTCAGGCGCTAAGAATGCAGCGACCTGGACGAAAGCTGACAAGGAACTTTCCTCGCTGAACTAATACCTCGCGATATCCATACCGGGCCCTATGGCTGCGAAGAAAGTCATACAACTTTCTGACGCGGTTATAAAAACCGCCACAGCGTCTCTAGTGGACAGGCGCCTAAGTGAAAACAGACTGATAATCTGGGGTTCATTCTCCCGAAAAATAACGCCAGCGATGCTGGTACAGTCGATCCTTAGCAATGTCCTCATCAAGCCTGATAAATTGCTCCACGCAGAATGGCTACGCCAGAAGGGAAGTAAGCGAACTCTTGGACTTCTAGTCACTCTTTCTTCCCCGTCCGACGTACAGGAGATCTTGGAGCGGGCTGGCAGCATTCAAAAGGCCAACCCAATGATCAGGCGCCTATCTGGGGATCGTCCTCTAGACGCGCGTAAGCTTGGTCGTGGCAGGTCAGGAGTGGGGGCACGAAACAGGATTCCACCAGGCACCAAATCAGACGGCCCCAAAGTAATGACCAAGCTGATTGTGGTCATATCCCCCTGTGCTCCCGAAAGCAGGCCTACCAAGTCAGCTGCGTCTGCGGACAGCAGTTTTTATTCGACCACCACAGGCCTCTCGCCCACCAAAGGCAGGGACGCCCTGGAGGAGGCAAACCCCACATGCAAGCAGCGCCCAAACTACGTGGACCTATCAACGCTTATCTCCGTATCAGAGGACACAGCTGCAGCCGTGCACTCCTCAACAAAATCACAGCCTCTGAACTGGACTGAGTCAGATGCGCGGGGACGAGCAGCGAAGCCAATCTCCAGCTCCACTCCGTCAAAAGGGGCCTCTCTGCTTGTTGATACAACCGTCGCCCAGGACCCCGAAAACCAAAGCAATAAACATGACTACGGCCATCCGGAAACTCCCTCGTACATCCAGTTGGCCACGCTGATCGCTGGCGGATCGGGTGTCCATGCAAACACGAAAGAAGAGCGACTGCAGCCAAACAAGCCACATACAACTCGCCAGATTAGAAAACCGCTGGCTGGCTTCAAGGTGCAGTCCCCCGCAAAAACGAGCGTTTTGGGAGCGCCACCAAAATTATTACTTCTTGGTGCCACCACCCAGCACTCAGGGCCTCACAGAGACACTTTTCCGGACAAACCGCGCCAAAACAACCGAGGATCGAGAAAGGCGAAAGCTTGCTGCAAACCTTTGATCAACAGCAAATCTGGTCGAAGAAAAGGGTATGCTGAAAGAGCTACAAACAGCATCAGACGAAATCTTCGCCCATGGGAAAAAACTCCGTCCCTCAAAGCCAAAAGGCCCGAGCAAACCGAGCTCCCACGGAGCGAAAAAAAACTTGCAGGCGAAAAGCACCCTCAGAAATCACAAAGACAGGAAGCGGACAGCTTCGCCCCAGAGGCCCCCTGGGATCCTTCAACTCAGACTCAAACCCGGTGCACACATTTTAAGTCTGTCAACCAACCTGCTCTCTCCACTTTCGGCTCCTCAACCTCGGAGGGAGCAGGGACAGTGTTGAAATGCATGTTCACAAACTGCCTCAGCAGTTTCAACAAACTCGGCGATGTTAAACAGTCAGCTCGCCTTGAACAACCGTCCATAATCACACCCAGAGAGACCTGGCTCACACCAGATGTCTCTGATACGGAGATCTCGATAGATTGTTACTCTATTTTCCCAGCTGACTCCAAACTAACATGCGCCCTACCAAACACGATTGTCCTCTCTGATACTAACAGTGCATTATTTGGCGATGCACTGTGGGTCCAAATCACGCTGCGCGGGTCCGATTCTCTCGTAGTCGGCGTGGTCTACCGTAGCAATCCGAGACTCTCTGAAGATGATCAATTCCACAAACAAACCCTTGAGCAACTCGGAAATCCGCCAGTGTAACATACGAAAACTGGCCACCATACGGGACCTCGCTCGAAAAAACAAAAACGTACTGTTCAAGTACATTAGACACCGCCGCATTAGGCCCACCGGGTTCTCTTGAGGGACAGAAATGGAGAACCGACAAATGACCCAACAGTGGTATCTGAGGTTTACATAGAACACTATGCGTGTCTATACTCAGCTCCAGCGTCCTCGTCACATCCACTCTTGTCAAGGCGAAACTACGAGCAGCCTCTAACCGACTTGGTCTTCACGGTGGAGGACATTGGTCAACTCTTGCACAAGATCAACCCATTCTGCAGGTTGGAGCCCGACGAACTCCATCCAAGGATCCTGAAGGAAACGTCGTCCACACTGGCAAATCATTTGCAAGTGGTGTTTCGTCAGTCTCTTGACGAAGGCCGTCTTCCCTCTGCTTAAAAGGAAGCGATTGTCACGCCAATCTACAAAACTGGTGACCGACTATCGCCTGGCAGCTACAGGCCTATAAGCCTCACTAGCGCGCCGTGCAAGGTGATGGAACGCATTCTGAAGCGAGCCATCCTAGATCACCTTACTTCCTGCAACCTGATATCTCCAGCCCAACACGGATTTCTCCCAAACTGCTCTTGCGTGACAAACATGCTCTTGTTCATGGACAGATTAACCCAAGCCAAGGACGAAGGACTCATATCGGATGCCATATTTTTCGACTTCTCAAAAGCATTTGATAGGGTCCCACACGTCCCGCTGCTCCACAAACTCGAGTCTTACGGGATTCAAGGGAAAATCCTTCGCTGGATCAAGGCGTTCCTATCAGACAGGTCATTCCGAGTGAGAATAGGCTCGACCTATTCCTCTCCAGCGCCGGTCTCCATTGGAGTTCCTCAAGGCTCCGTCTTGGGACCACTCCTGTTTCTGATCTACGTCAACGACCTCCCAGGCGTTCTTCCAAGTCCATGTCTACTTTTTGCGGACGACTTGAAATCCTGGAGTTCCAATGCCAGTGCCCTCCAAATGGATGTAGATGCTGCCGAACAGTGGTCGTTGGACTGGCACCTTCCTTTGAATGACGAAAAGTGCGTCCATATATCGTTTGGAAGAGGCTCAGCGAATGTATTTGTTATGCATGTTGAGGAAGGACCAGATAACATCATGAGGATAGATGCCAAAATGGATTTGGGCATCTGGGTCTCCTCAAACTTGTCCTTCTCACTGCACCATGAGAAATCGGCCCAAAAGGCATTCGCCATATTACGGATGATTCGACGCACCTTCTCCCGTATTACTCGCATGGACTTCCAAATACTCTATGGGGCCTGCGTCTGACCGCTCCTGGAGTACGCCAACCAAATTGTCTACTCAGGACGCACGAACGACGTCACCCTCATCGAGCGTGTCCAGTGGGCCGCCACGAGAATGGTTGCCGGCTTCAAATCCGTGGACTACGAAACGCGTCTCACGATGCTTGATCTCTTTCCCCTGGAGTACCGTCGCCTCCGAGGGGATCTAATTCCTACTTGTGCCCTGTTTGAACAAAGTTTGGCAAACAGGATTTTTACCGTTGACCCAGCAAACACACCGCGGGGTCATAGTAAAAAAATTTTCAAGTTCAGAGCACACACATTCATTAGACGAAATTTTTTCTCATTTCGGGTAGTGGTTGTGCGGTTGTCCGCGCCCCTTCTAGAACCCAGTTCGAAGCACCA